CTCAAAAAAAAAAAAAAAAAAAAAAAAAAAAAAAAGGAGAACTCTGCCCCCTCTGATATGACTTGAAGAACCCTTAGAAAGCCACCATCAACACCACCCAAACATGATGCCACTAGTGATCACATCATTTGAAATTACACCTGTAGACCTTCATTTCTTTTGAAGAAGAATTTTTGCTGTTGGGATATTTGATTGCTGAAAATATGTTGTTATTTAATCTGCAAACAGACTAAAAACCGTCTATGTACTTGGCCTCTATTAGGTAAATGCTTGGGCCGTGGAGGTAACAACATGAGTCACAGTTCTCAAAATCCCATGGGCTGGACAAGGAAGTGCCTATGATGGGACCAAGCTTATAATGGGAACATGGGCCAAGTGCTGTGACACCCAGAAGAAAGCCGGTCCAGGGAGTTTCAGAGAGAACACGATATTTGAGCAGGGTCTCAAAGTCTGCATGTGAGTTTGGGTAGAAGTGAAATCCGCACAGAAGGAACAGCACAAGCCAAAGCAAGGAATCCTGAAAGAGGCCGGCGTGTGCAGGACGGCCAATGCTGCCATGTACCTTGGTTGTGGGTGTAGGAAAGCAGGAAACAGGTCGGACTGTGAAAGGCCTTGTCAGTTCTGTTGAGGAGTGTGGACAGGTCCTGGCAAGCTAGCCAGGTGAACAGTGTGCTGAGCCTGGGGTGCAGCTAAGTACCACCTGTCCATGTTCCTTGCCAACACCACAGGAGAGTCTGAGATGCCACGGAAGGACAGGTGGGAGAGCTGGGGTTCAGTCTTGGGAACAGCTCCAGATACATTTGTGCAGGGCCTCCAAGAATGTGGCTTCAGTTGGCAAGCCTCACTTGACCCAGCCAGCCTTAGCCTTGAGGGAGGCCATGACAGAGGAGCCACCGTGGAGGAGGCAGGTGGTGGCACTCACCACTGCAGAGGCTTTCTTGCCTGGGGGCTGGGACCACAGTCCTGGACCGTGGGGAGTCACATTCTCTGGGAGTGGAGCAGTCATGACGGAAGGCACAATGAGGCCTCCAGGCTGCTCCAGGGCAGGAAGGAGGCAGAGCGTCTGCTCCTCAACCAGGATGGCCAGGAGGCCCCAGCCCTCCTCTGGGAGGATAGAGGGGGCGGGCGTGTGAGAGGGAGCGTGCTGGTGCTGGATTAGCTCCTCTGTCTTCATGTGTTTCTACCTCTAGCAGCCTACTTTAGGACAAGAATGCCCTTCCTTCCTGTTTCATTCACAGGCTCCCTGGGAAACATTTCCACAGCCAGTCATGGCCCCCGTTCTTCTCCAGCTGAGATCAGTCGCTCCCACCAGCACCTCCCCCAAGAACGAGAACCCACGTCTGAGCCCTCTGTGTCTCACCGTGTGCCGCCCACCTGGCCCATCCCTTCACCTCGGGGGTGTCTCTGCTTGCACCAGCAGGCCAGCCAGAGAGCAGGACATGCAAGGTAGGGGACCACCGCGGCCAGTGTGGGGAGTGATCCCTGCAAGGTCTTGTTCTATTCAGTCCCTGATTTTTTTACATTTCAAAGAGAAGGACATACAATATTATCTCTTTCCAGGTAAGCAAACATAGATAACAAAACATAATTTTTTATGTAGCCTTCCCATTTTATTGGTTTTATTTGTGTTGCTACAAAGTGATAATTGGATTCCTAAGAAACCTACCATTATAAAAAATCATGCCATGGCCGGGCGCGGTGGCTCAAGCCTGTAATCCCAGCACTGTGGGAGGCCAAGGCGGGTGGATCACGAGGTCAAGAGATCGAGACCATCCTGGTCAACATGGTGAAACCCCATCTCCACTAAAAATACAAAAAATTAGCTGGGCGTG